TATCTATCTATCTATCTATCTATCTATCTATCTATCTATCTATCTATCTATCATCATTATTATCTATCTATCATCATTATCTCTATCTATCTCTCTATCTATCATCATTATCTCTATCTATCTAACATCATTATCTCTATCTACCATCATTATCTATCTATCTATCTATCTATCTATCTATCTATCTATCTATCTATCTATCTATCATCTATCTATCATCTCTCTCTCTCTCTCTCTCATCTATCTATCTAGTATCATCCTAAGTGGTTCTGCGCATCAAATTGGAGGGGGAGAAGTTTGGGGGCACAAAGTTAGAGGGAGGATTGAAGACAGGAGACAAGAATTGGAAAGTTGGAGAAGAGGAACAGAGCAAAACTAAAGTCCTCCCAGTCCACTTAAGAGACCTTCTATAGTTTTCTTGGTCAATACGTTCTAGTACCCAACAGGTTATATGGGTACAGCTAATCCAGACTCTGCTGAGATGTCTCTTCATAGAGTTCTGATAGTTTTTCACATAGGACAGCTGAACACAGAAGCAAAGAAATCCTCTCAATGCTGGCTTGGGCAGCAGAGAATGACTAGATAGAGCCACTGTAGTACATATATACATTTGTTTTGGTTGGAATCTATGGGCTACATCCTGGGCACTAGGCATCAGGTTGCCTCTGTAGACCACTCTATGCAGGCCGTAGATGGTATCTCTGGTTAAATATGATATATTTCTCTTTTGGCTAGAGGTACCGGCAACACTCACCATGAAGGTCATTGAGGGTAGGTGCAGTGATTTTGTATATTTAATCCAGCATGATTCTTTTGTCAGGACTCTGAGAAATGCTTCACTTGTGACTCACGCTCACCCTCTGTCCGTGAGAGCCACCGCATTGAGAATGTCATCTACCTTAGTGGCCAGAATGGTGAACAGACCTGGTGGCAGTCTGAGAATGGTAAGAATGAGTGAGAAATTTGGAAGTTATGGAAGCTAATTTTTCATCTTCATTGGTTCTAGATGTCTAGCAACTCCAAAAAATTAAACATCTCCGGGTCTTGTTGCTCTCCAGCAAGACATTTTTCATCATTAGTGCTGCCAGATCTTGGCTAGCTGCAAAAGTCCAGGTGACCCCTATATTGGCACCACTATATTTGCTGTCATATAGTGGTCACCCAGACTTTTGACTGGTGGCGCTAGATAACAAGTTCCTGCTTTCTTGAGCATTACATATCAAGACTACTTGAGGAGAGTTCTTGAGGGAGGTCTAATTTCTGTCTTTGTCCCTCCCCAGGTGTAGAGCAGGTCAGCATCCGCTTGGACTTGGAAGCTGAATTCCACTTTACTCACCTTATAATGAAATTTAAGGTACTGAGGAACTATGAATATGCACTAGGGTGGATATTAGATGTTTTGCCTTCATAGGAGGTATAAAAAATACTTGACAAAAATACTGAACAAACAGAATCCTTTCTAGCTATAATTTTTGGGTGTTTTTTTAAAATTTCAATTTGTAAATTAATGTGCTTTTCTGCAAATACCTGGGTTTCTGGGCCAATTAAATTTAGTGCCAATGGGGAATTTCCTCTCCCATTTCCGAGAAGTGATTTTCACAAAAAGCCTAACAAGCAGAAAAGAGTTTATAAAGGCCTCCCTGCCTGCTGCGCACTTGAGTATTATTCCATGCACACAGCCCAGTAGTTATTTGCATTTGTGAAAACCATGCATGTTAATACAATAATATATTTAACCTTTAAGTTGGCACTTAAATGTTATTCATCTCAGTAGGAGTTTCTGTTTTTAATCTAGGCTGGGTGTATCATGCAGTGCACTGCAAAGAATCTTTGCCTACTCGGCATCAGCCTCCTCACTACTTCCTTCCTCAGTCGAATAAAGTTCTCCCCAATAGGTTTTACCCACAGAAACTAGAGTGGCTTTCCCCAACTTGATTCTTCTCAGATTTGTTGGACCACAGCCCCATAATTTCACGTCAATGGCCATGCTGTCCTGAATGCTGGGATTTGCATTCCAGCATTTCTGGAGACTCTCAGCCTCAGAAAAGCTACCTTCAGTGCACATCTGAAGAGCCAGCTTGACATGGGTCCTCCAGTCCATGAGCGGCACAAACTGTGTCAGCGTAACTTTGCTCTTTTCCTGTGGCTGATCTCAGCGGTGCTTTGTAATGAGGCCAGTGAGTGGAACTGCCCTAATAATTCATTGCAGGGTAAGTTAGATGCAGCAACTGGTGGATTTCCCTGGAGGTGGGGGAAACATCCACTGGTTGCCCCCCCTAGCTAGCGTGAGCTGGGCCTGGGGGAGGAGGTATGCTGTACCAGAGGGCTAGATGGGTCTAGTCATCAGTCAAAACTTGATTGGGGGGAGCAGTAAAACATGAGAGGCTCTCCTATTTTACTGGGACCCCTGGATCACTGCAGCATCTGATCCAACAGGGTGTTATGACAGATTGTCACTCAACCCTCTGTAGCAGGTCCTGTAGATATTCTACAGAAGGAAACATGTAAGAAAAGTGCTGGTGAAATAAAAATGTATTATATTCTTAAGCAAATCACAGAAACTCTTCCATATAGTTCTGTAATGCCATGGAAAATATGCAGAAGGTCTGGGGGAAAAAGTGAGTGAAAATCAAATCTGCATCTAGAAAATTCAGTCTCTTTTGTTCACAAATACCTGACTTGCTTTGGTATTCATTTAAGGTTTTAACATTTTAATATGGAGATTATCTCTTATTGGTGAACAGGGAAGTTAGCTAGAGTAACAACAAACATTCTCCAGTTCATTCCTCTCTTTCTTCTCTTCCAGACTTTCCGTCCAGCAGCAATGCTCCTCGAGCGTTCATCAGATTTTGGGCAAAGCTGGAAGGTTTATCGCTACTTTGCCTTCAATTGCTCCAAGCTCTTCCCAGCTATCCCTACTCAGGTCCCAACACATGTCAATCAAGCAATGTGTGACCAGAGATACTCTGAGATTGAGCCCTCCAGCCACGGTGAAGTCAGTGCTATTCTGTGGAAGTAGAATGAAATGCAAGTGGGGCAATGTCACCTTGTGGAAGACAAGAGAATTGTATCTCTGCAATTACAGTCAGGTCCAGAAATATTGGGACATCGACACAATTCTAACATCTTTGGCTCTATACACCACCACAATGGATTTGGAATGAAACAAACACAATGTGCCTTAACTGCAGACTGTCAGCTTTAATTTGAGGGTATGTACATCCAACTCAGATGTAAACCATTGGTGAGCCTCAAAAACAGGAAGGCCAGATTAGAGTTTGCCAAACGACATCTAAAAAAGCCTTCACAGTTCTGGAACAACATCCTATGGACAGATGAGACCAAGATCAACTTGTACCAGAGTGATGGGAAGAGAAGAGTATGGAGAAGGAAAGGAACTGCTCAATGTGCCTTAACTGCAGACTGTCAGCTTTAATTTGAGGGTATGTACATCCAACTCAGATGTAAACCATTGGTGAGCCTCAAAAACAGGAAGGCCAGATTAGAGTTTGCCAAACGACATCTAAAAAAGCCTTCACAGTTCTGGAACAACATCCTATGGACAGATGAGACCAAGATCAACTTGTACCAGAGTGATGGGAAGAGAAGAGTATGGAGAAGGAAAGGAACTGCTCAATGTGCCTTAACTGCAGACTGTCAGCTTTAATTTGAGGGTATGTACATCCAACTCAGATGTAAACCATTGGTGAGCCTCAAAAACAGGAAGGCCAGATTAGAGTTTGCCAAACGACATCTAAAAAAGCCTTCACAGTTCTGGAACAACATCCTATGGACAGATGAGACCAAGATCAACTTGTACCAGAGTGATGGGAAGAGAAGAGTATGGAGAAGGAAAGGAACTGCTCAATGTGCCTTAACTGCAGACTGTCAGCTTTAATTTGAGGGTATGTACATCCAACTCAGATGTAAACCATTGGTGAGCCTCAAAAACAGGAAGGCCAGATTAGAGTTTGCCAAACGACATCTAAAAAAGCCTTCACAGTTCTGGAACAACATCCTATGGACAGATGAGACCAAGATCAACTTGTACCAGAGTGATGGGAAGAGAAGAGTATGGAGAAGGAAAGGAACTGCTCAGTTGGATGTACATACCCTCAAATTAAAGCTGACAGTCTGCAGTTAAGGCACATTGTGTTTGTTTCATTCCAAATCCATTGTGGTGCTGTATAGAGCCAAAGATGTTAGAACTGTGTCGATGTCCCAATATTTCTGGACCTGACTGTAGATACTTGGCTCTGAGGAAGTGCTACAATTTGATGGCAAACATAATTTGCAGGCAGGATATCCTAGATTTAATTTAATTTAATTCTGGGAGTTGAAGTCCACACATCTTAAAGTTGTCAAGGTTAAGGAACACTGGTGTAGATAATACAGAGTGAAGAAAAAGTAATGGTCTGATTCAGTGTAATGCAGTTGACTGTGTTCATGGAACAGAAAGATCAATGTGGTGTTCAAACTAATTTTTAAACAGCAGATAGGAATGTAAAATCTCAGGTTCTGAGTATGAATGCAGACAGTCACTATTGTTGAAATGAATTTGGAAAGCAGTAAAATCTACTTTGGTTTTTCAGGTGAATCTCTTGGGGCTAACTGGATGTGGTATAGGAGTTCTATAATCTATTCTTAAAATTTTATCAAACAGCAGCCATGGGAATGCCAAACTTTAACTGGGAGGGTGACCCAGAAGGAAAATGGTCAGTTTTGTTTGGTTCATAGAACCATTGTTAAATTGTTACACGGACTACAGCTAAGCCAGAACTTCACATTTTTCTTGCTATGCCTGGACATACTGGCTGAAGAGTAGGGAAGAAAGACCAGAACATACCTGACACGGATTGGGCGTTGGGTACATTGGTAAAGCTATAGCCCTGACAAAATTGTGCTCCAGGTTTTATGCACAACCAACTCGTCTAGCCAGAGCAGGTAAAATGTGAAGTTTGGGCTTAGCTGCTCTGATGGTATTGAAAGTACAAGGACCTAGGACTTAATGAAGAATTGAGCCCAGTTCTAACCTAATAAACCTTTAAAATTGTTCTGTTTTTCTTTTTACCTACTATATCAGCAATATTAAAAGAAGGCAGAAATTGAAATGAGGAGAAATATTCTCTCTAAGCATTCATACTTTCCCTATCCACACACCAGAGAGATATCAAGCAATTTCTCTTGATATCCTCAGTTCTGAGTAAAGCAGCTGGGCCCAAATTGCTTAACCTTTTATTATCAAAATATGCCATTCAGCTCAAAGCAAATTCTTTATGCGGGAGATTTTTTCCATCTCAAAACCACTGCCTTTCTCAGGGGCTCATTTTAACTTTAGCTCAGTTGGGTTTTTTAGGGCAGATTCCTGAATTTGTGATATCAAGGGGATGGGAAAGGTCAAGCTTATTTGAAATTCAGTGGCTTGTAGCACCACTCAGCATGAGAACCCCCTTTGTACTGGCAGTGTTATGACTTGCCGGATTTTGTATCTGTGTTGAATAATGCACATTTTAAAAGATGCGTTGGTACATCCTATTTATTCACTACATTGGTATTTCTTATTTTGAAGCGCTAACATGACTAATTATTACTAGACCCATTCCTTGCCTAATTGAGATAACAGCTCCACTCTAACTACTTTTCTATGGACATTTTTTCTCTTGATAAAAAAGCCCAATGGCTTTATGCTCTTAGGAAAAACTTAGATTTAACTTCTCTCTGCAGGTGATTTTCAAGGTTCTAGACCCAGCGGTGAAAGTAGAAGACCCCTACAGCCAGGAAATCCAAGGTATGGCAGCAACAGGAAGTAAGGAAGAGATTGCTTATGAGAATTGAAAAGAAATGTTGTCAAGGGTTGAAAAATGTGGCCAAGGCTTTAGATATTGCCGTGTGTACCACAAAGTCATGCCCCAAGCAAGCAAATATGGGAATGAGTGGTGAGGAAGCATATAGAGGACTATCAGGGTTAGGGTTAGGGCATTTAATAAATAAAAGGCATCATTATTAGAAGGAAGGTCACCTCATACTGAATTGGCATTTGGACTAATCTAACAGGGCTTTTTGAAGGTTAGGATAACATAGTACTATATATGCCAGGTTTTCAATATGGTGTCCTCCAGATGTGTTGGACAATCACACCCTGTTGAACTACCAATGATTGGACGTGATTTGAATTTTTATTCAACATCTTTGGAGGAGATACGTTTGGGAAAGGATGGCATATACTATTGTGCTTTCTACCTTGGAACTGTGACCCTAAAAAGAAGGAGGGAGAAAAGCCAAGAACGGAGAATATAGAAAGAGGGAGGCTGAAGAAGCTCTAAAAGCTAAAACACTCCTCCAACAATTCCTTCTCTTGCCCAGATTTGTTACGAGTCACCAACTTGCGGGTGAACTTCACAAAGCTGCATACTCTGGGAGACAATTTATTAGACTCACGATATCAAGTATTACAGAAATACTACTATGCGGTATATGAGATGGTGCTTCGAGGGAGCTGCTTCTGTTATGGACATGCCTCCGAGTGTGCCCCGTTGACAGGATCAGCAAACCCGGTTGAGGGCATGGTAAGTTATCCAGTGGGAGATGAGGAGGAGACCAGGGCGATGGGAAGAACTGTTAAGATATGAAAGAAATGAAACTGAGCATTTTTATTAGCATAGGTCAGTGTTTCTCAACCCTGGCCACTTGAAGATGTGTGGACTTCAATTCCCAGAATTCCCCCCCCCCAACGCGGCGTGGG